AAATTTATTGATTTAAACTTAGATGAATAGATGTAGTAGTCATATGGGTGAAACAAGGGATACTGAGCAGTGTTAGAGTATACCTTAGGACCATGCCCATTAACAGAAGTTAGTATGTGGGTTTCAAGTGGATAGTCCGTTAGATCAGTTTCCTTGTGTTGCTGCATGATTATCCAGCCCCTCTTGATGCTTTCCACATAGGGTGGATTAGCTGTAGCTGCTGGCAAAGAGCTTCAGTGGTCGGAAGGCACCAGAGTCTTTCCTCCTTGATTCGAGGTCATTCCTTGGTTGCTATGAGGAACTTCGTTATCACTAAGTGATACAATACCTTTGTTTGGATAATAATAATAATTTATATTTTCATATAAACATAAATTTACATGAAAATGCATGCCATTTTTACAGGCACGATCAAGTGTGATATAATGTCAAATAGTAGATTGTCTACAAGTTAATGATGTTTGAACAGCTAAATATTCGATATATATATATATATATAAATACATTCATTGTCTGACCCATGTCGTATCATTATTGAATTAAACAGTAGTCCTCCGGGTTGCGCAGGAAAATCGACTTCGTTTCGTTTTCAACCCGTATTTGTAGGCATACGATAACCAACCAATATTGAGGTAAGTAAAACGTTTACAAGGGATAGTAAGATGATCACTTTTTAAAAGTTCAAATTGTTGAATTATATAGTACAAGCAATCGGAACAGACTCTTATTATTGTTAATTTGTAAATCTTCCACCATCGAAGTTGAGCGACAACCACGTGCTTGAACGCTATTTCAGGAAGAGGAGAAAATCCTGCACAGCTATAAATTGGTATAAAATGCAATCATGAATAATACATTATCGGAAGTATATTTACAAGAAAAATACAAGAATAAGCTATACAGTACTTGATATGATAGTGCACATTTGCAATGTATGATGCTAACCATATTGGTCTTACCGTAGAAAACTATGACGTTTCCTATGAAAATAAAGTTATTCTCAAACATGAGTGCTGTTGTTATGTTTTTTTATTATTTTTTATCCATCAGAGCAACCGAACTTTATGCGAGAGAAGAGTGTCAATGAGAAAAAAGAAAAACAAAAGGGTAAATTTCAGCTTTACTAAAGGCCTAGGAAGTTGAGATAAAATAGAGTACACTAGTAATTCGATAGAAGGATTGTCGTGAAGTATATAAGTGACATTTCAGAGAGAAGTGGCTAGAAGGATTAGAACCTGTTCGATATGGTGACCTGTAGGATGTCTGGCGAACCTGTGTATGGCCCATGGGATAGAATCTTGACAAGAAACTGAGCAGGCTTGTAGATGTTAGGAGCGAAAGCATTACATTTTTTTACAAGCTAAATCTGAACAGTCGTTATTGTTTTAGTTTTTTTAATTTTTTTTAAGTCTAATTTTTTATACATTCAGTATCTAAACTCATGTTTAATTCTCGAGCTGCCAAAATAATGCACGTTGCTGTCCTACAGATCGAAGTGATCCACATTTGTGACCACTACCAAATCTGCTGATCAGCATGCGCCACCCTCCCTCCCTTTTTAGCCTTAAGCTCTGAGACCTTTTACAATGACTGCAGTTGTAATATTGGATTGCTTTGACTCCGTCCCAATAATACAGTATGCTGCACATTAACAGCTTTCATGACAAGTGCTTCCCATTAGGTCACATGGCACAATAATACCAGAGGACATTGTTAGCAGCGTTATCATCATACTAGTGAACAAGCGGATTACTACAAAAGACTAAGAAATTAGGTTTCCCTTAAGTTATGAAGGATAAAAATAGCTAATATTAGAGCAACTAAGTTATATTCTATTTAGCAGTGATATGAGTAGTGGAAGAATTAGTGATAAAGTTATGTAAAGTGATCCTGAGTAAGGCAGCTGGTTAGCAGAAATTGTAATGCTAAATTTTCACGACCGATTTTATATGGTGTGCGTTACACATTGCAAAGTGACTCATCAATTACATAATGGAAAAATATTACATAATTTCAACAATATGAATTTTTTTAGATTATATGAAAATGGGTAACTTGACTGAAGATAGTCATTTCAACTCAACTTATGGTCTTAAACTGAATCCTTCCAAATGTCAGACTGCTAATTTCATTTTCAGATGTAAAAGAGTGTTAAATGAATCCATTATGGATAAGATTTTACTTTGATAAATCACACAGTGTTGTACAGTAATATATAATATAATAATAATATAATATGTAGAATTACTCGTTTATACGAAATATAAACTATTATTATTATTAAAATAGAATCTTATCCATAATGGAGTTATGCTCTACCACAGTGCCCAAGTTTTATACTTATATCAGTGTTAAATGAAGCTGTTAATTTTCATGACCGTTGTATAATTGAGGACAATGTAATACCAATCAAGTCTGACGTTAAGCAGCTTGGATTAATTCTTTCTTCTGACCAATCTTGATCTTCCCATGTCTTAGCGATTTCTAAAAGAATATTTTACCTGACTTTTCACATTAAGAAGTTAAGGCACTTAGGTGCAAATCAACCCCTCCTCTTACAGTTTGTCAATTCGTGCATCTTACGTATTCTTCTGCAGTGTTTACCCTTATTCTTTCCTGGATTGCTTAAAAAAGACAATGTCGTACTTTGTAGAACTCTGAAGACTGTTAGTAGGGTGAGTGACATACCTTTGGGCCATATCTTTTCAGTCGTAATTGACGACAGGCATTTGATTTTGGCAGACTGTGAGCATTCGCTTTACCTTCAGCTTTCACCTTGTGTCTCCTCAGGTAATACAAGAAGTCATTTCAAAAGACTGTATGCGTTCGCGTCTTAGTACGTAACATCCACGATACCACATTTGGCACGTATTTTATGCGATGAAAACAGTGTCAGGGACGAACTAACTAACCTAGTGAGTAAACCATCCTCCCCATCCTCATCCCACCAAGCTTTACTATTATTATTCTTGTATTTATAATCCTCTCTCGAATATTTCTGACTTAATACCGTAACTGTGGACAATTCCCTGCGGTTAATTTACATTTTAATCAATTCAGATGCAATATTGTGACAAATGCGGAGAATTCCATTCTGTATATAAGTAGACTATTATTACTATTAGGCTTTAATGACGCCACTTTATCCTGCTTGACCTGTTCTTCTTGCTTTAATCATGAAAGTAGCGTGTTTCACAGAACTCATCACACAGCTTATCAACCTTAAATGTACAGCACCTGCAGGAATAGTGTTTAATAGCTAAGCATGCAGATCAAAGTAAACGCTTGCGCTGTACTTTCATTAATTATAAGACTACCTAGTAAAGTGTGCAAGAACCACGATCTGACCAGTTACACGATGTTTAATACATTTAGACACAATCGACGTACTCTACTTAGTTCTATGACACCCCAACTCAAACTACTTAGCCACCTTAAAATAGTTCCCGCTGAAGATGATTGTCTACATTTGCTAACTTAGTGAGCAACTTAAATTTATCTTTGAATTGCAAAAAGAATGTGTAGACCCTTAGAACTTTCTTGGTAAAAAGATAGTCTCCTAGTCGAAAAAAGTAAATATATCCCAATTTCATCCGATTACCTCAAATGACTCATTATTTGTAGTCACTTAAAAAGAAAAAATAAATTTACCGAATACATTGTGGTTATGATTTCTAGATATAATAATGTACCATGAAGAAAAAGCTATATCCATATTGTTATAACAGTTAGACGCGCGATATTAATTAGAAAGACCGCGATTCTCGATCACAGAACATTCTACTTTGCTACCTAATCGTCTAATTGTATCATCAAATGTTTCGCCAAAAGAAGAACATTAGTTCAAGGAAAATTTATTTAAAGTTTCCTCAAAAATTATGACATTCGTATTTATAGCCACAGAGAAATTACAAACATCCAAAAAAATTGGAATTTCATTATTTGAACTGAAACAAGCAATTTGTATTCAGGCAATGTTTTCACCTTGAATAATTCCTGCTTTATTGAGAATCCTACGTAGGGTCTCAGATGTCGCCTCCTTATGTGGTATAACAGTAGACGCCTTATTCAAACCTACAAACTCACTCAGAGACAAGCTCTGTAGGCTAAAAGACCCGGTGGACCCAATTAAACAAATAATATAATTTACAAAATACCTTGCAGTGACTGTGAAGTCAACTAAATAGGCCAAACTAGTAGGTCGCGGGTAGTCAAATTGTCGGAACACAAGAATTTAGGTAAGGTAAGAATGGTTGGCCTCGAGAAGATGAGTAATTTAGAAAAAGGTCAGAAATTGCACTGCATACATTAACAAACAGCCACACAATAGCGTGTGAGGTTAAAATTCTAAGGAGTAATCCATGTAGGTGGAGACAGATTAATTACTGAATCCTGGTTCATTGAGTCTACATCCAACACATGCAACAGAAATGGAAGATATTATTACTATAAGTATAGAACTTGGGCACTGTGGTAGAGTATAACTCTTATCCCTAATGAAGATATAATTACCACAAGTCAAATCAGAGGAGGATAGTAAATAATCTTAAAATTCTACTTCAATTCACGTGCATCATAACATCCTAACAAGTTACTTATTTTGATTATAAAAACACTCGTCTTATTTCCCATCTGATTGTAATTGATCAATAACACTCATATTATTATTTCTGAATGTATATTATCTCATACTGATTTTTGTTCAAATATCTAATCATTTCGGCTCATGTATATAAACGAAGAAAAAAGTGATGTGAGCAAATTGATATGATTATGAGCAATAGTTTGTGCTCGAAACGTCATCAGTTAATACTACCGTATAACACTGTGTGATTTATCCAAATAAAATCTTATCCATAAGGGTTCCCATAAATCCAGAAAACACATAACACAGTCTTATCAGAAATTATTCACATAAATATTTACTAAGCTAAATTTCAACCAACTTTCTCGACAAGTTTAGCCGTTGGAGATTAGATGGTGATTGATTATATTGTAGACCTTGAATGATCATGGAGCGCTTTCCGTTTTTGCGTTACGTGTAATGTGAATATTTGGCAATTCAACTACGTTCACTTCTAGTAGGTATCTTTTGCATTTTTAAGTTTCGTGGAGTGTCTTACAGAATTTTAAAAAAATACAGAGAATGAAGTCTGTGGTTTGTTGCGTTAAACTTTGTAGTATGTGTGTTTGTAGAGACAGTTTCTCATTGAGGGCGTTTAACTGGCGATTTTATACCAGCTCCAGCAGTGATATCCATCTGTTGACTAACTTCCATGAAAGTCTCATTTCTGCTTGTGACTTATTGGAACGTGCAGAATGGTTCTGTTCACACCTCAGACTACAACTTGTTAAGTAATCAACAAAAGGTGCTCAAACCTAGGACGACTAAAATACTTGCGGAATTTAGATTCTCTCACAGAGTGGTCAACGGCTGAAACTCCCTACCTGATTCATTAGTTTCAGCTCCATCAGTGAACGCTTTCAAAAAGAAGTTAGATCTCTGCAGAGATACATTTTGCAGAGATTAACACAGGCCACGAGAGCCTACTATCCTTATCATCTGATTATGATGATGACATTATCTCTTCAGAGAATAGCTGGTAGAATTATTCGAATTAGTATAGTTATCGATTTTACTTGTATTCTACTGCCGTAATAACAATATGGATTATAAAAACAAGATTATGTATCTTTGTAAGAGGATCACTGAATGACTATTACAATATTTGTGTATTAGTGAATTACACACACGCACACTATTAGAATTTACTACTGATTTAGGGTATTGACATTCACGTATATTTCTTAACCTTACATTAATAAGACTTCTTGAATTATCCGAAGAACTTATTGGCGAAATCCATGTCGTAATTGCTACAAATAAACCCATACTTCAGGAAGACCCGGTAATATTCATATAAGTATTTTAGTGACAGATTTTAAGTATTAAGAGACTGTTTTATATCATTGTACTTGTTCATGATATCTGTCACCGATCTCTATGAGTAACACAGGTATGTGTATAGTGTGTGCTGAACCCATACACTGGCTGCATTCCAAAGTTTTTATTTAACTGATGAATTCGTACTAACTTACCACTATCAAGAAGAGTAAGAAGTTGTTAAGTTGTTTCATTAAGTACTGCACAGAAAATATACCACAAGTTGATTTCGCTTTTTATTTCTAAATTATGAAGAAAACAAAGGATTTTTTTCCTACACTGGGAGCAAAATGTAAGTAATGTATCAAGTTTAAACGTGTTAAGAAGACGAGACCGGGACAGATTTAAAAACTGCCAGTTTAAATAATTCTCAAAAGTATTCTAGCTGCATATAGCTTATTCTGAATGTCCTGTTATGTGAGCTTTTAATATTGACTCATTACAGGAGATGTCTTATTAGATACATAAGTGATATACATTGACAGTAAGTCAATGCTATAACCTTTTTGTTGTCTTAAACCTCTGATCTTATTTCTTCGATATCGATGTCAGGATAAATGCTAACTTAATTATTTCTTCCCATTTAGTTATTTAGTGTATAGGATAGACTGCTATATGTTGCTTTTGGTTTCTTAAACTACACTAAACACATTACAGCTATTGCGAAATATGGGTTCCGAAGGAACATCTACATTGTTGGAATGAAATAACAAAAGACTTATAGTGTTTGAACTACATATTATTAAGAAACCAATATTCTTATGTTTCTCTTCAGTCTCCACTGTTGCATATTCACATTAGGTAGATGATGAGTTTGCGTGTTTTAACTAAATAGACGATTTTTGTGGCGACAAACCATTAGAGGAAGTAATAGTCGAAAGAATTGTTTTTATAGTCACAAAATTATACTGTCAAAATAAAATGTGTCGAATTGCAGAATTTGAATTCTTCGTGATTTTAACAAGCTGATAGGTATACAGTTAATAATTGGGAATGATTAGCTTATGTTAGCATCGTAACGTATGTGAAATAAGCAGCTTGTAAAAGGCTGCTTACGAAAACATTTTATACCTGATCTACCACTGTTAAACTAACATCGGACGGTGTATTCCTGATTGGTTTTAGATCTAATTGATCCCTCCTAATTCAGAAAAATCAATCTTTCAGTTATTCATAATGATGTTGACCACTTCGCGTATTGAGCAACAACCAAACATCTGTTTCAATCTCCCAATTTTAGGAAATTCATTAAAAGTCTGGAACAGCAGTTATTGACAAAATTGGGATGTGAGCATGGGGTATTTTATTTTCCCACGCTTATATATCAGATACCCATCAGAGTTGTTTTTTTCAAATTTTTGTGCTTAGTTTAACTGCTCTGTTGCAAAAGATCACCTGTTATTTGGTTTGTACTGTTTTTGTATTCAGCTTCATGGATTACGAAAGTGTGCTTTTGGTTAAAAATGAAGTGTTCGTGTATCGAATTCCCCCCAGACCATCTAATCGAGGATATAGAGCTAATGATTGGAACTTAGAAGCACCTATGTGGACTGTAAGGCTTCGCGTTGTTTCCAAGGGAAAAGATCTAGTCATACTATTGGAGGACAAAAACTCTGGACAGTTATTTGCTAAATGCCCTGTAGACTCCTTTCCTGGAATATCAGTTGAACCAGTTCTCGACTCAAGTCGGTATTTTGTTATTCGACTTGTAAGTAATGATGGACGGACCACGTTCACTGGAATTGGTTTCACAGAGCGATCAGATTCTTTTGACTTAAATGTAGCAATTCAGGACCACTTTAAGTAAGTTAATTTATTAAAATTTGTTTTTTTTTGTTAATTCCGCTTAACTCATAAGTTCCTTCAAAATTTTTTTCTACTTTCCTTCTTGGTAAATTCATAAGGTTACATTTCTGAATCATTAGCATACATATATATATATATATATACTCTGTCTTTTTATGATTCTCTAACTTATATCGACTCGTGGACGAACCAACATTTAAATTTATGAAAACCCTGCAAACGGAAAACGCAAATATGTCATTAAAATAAATGAATAGATATGGTATTCATAAGTAGTTTCACTAAGACGATTCCACTGCTTTGTACGTTATAGAGTAAAATAAGTAGTTGGGTTTTCAGCATAGAACGTAGCACAGAAGTGCACTATTTCAAGTTACCACACTGTGTAACACAGAAAAGTATAGAAAATAGAGATACAAAAGAGCTATAACGGGCAGAAATGTCAGGGAGAAAGAATAGTAACATAGGAAAACATGGCAGTTTAGTGGATATGGGAAATCACAGCGAGTGAATACATCTGCGCTGTTGAGAAAGATTTCTAGCCATATCACCAATAATCTCAGGCCATTAGTTCTCAGCACCCCTGTTACCCCAACTAGACAGCCTACACCTCCCTACGTGACCCAAACCAAATAATTGTTTAGAAACTGCTCACTGATCTGTGTATTTTTAAAACATTCACTAACATACTTCAGTCTCTCTGATAGCAATTTTATCCACTTAGGTACCGAGTCATAGTTGGTATCTGAAAAAGGTTAGAAGTAGAGAGGTGGTCAGTTTATGATGTTGTGTCTTAAGATGATGGGTGATCGTGTTGTGTTAGCATGTGTTAGTGTATTACAATTATACAGAGTATCATGCCAATAATTCAGAAAGAATAGGAAGATAATAGTTGGAAATTAACAGAATGAGCAGATAATCATTCTTACTATGAAAAATGCAGAAGACGGTTTGATAATACAACAAACTGAAGTGATACAACATGATCTAAATTACTTTCAGTTTCATGCTATATCTGATAGTATCCAAAACCATTAAGTTGCGTACTGTATAGTTAGTTATCGTGGAAATGAATAATGTAAACTAATTTTTCAGTAACAATCGCATGTCACTGTGGGTATGTGAAAATGTTAAGTAAATCAAGTTTAATAACACAACTAGTGCATCATTGATGGTTTACTTCAATCTTGCCTATTTTCACAATAATTCCTGACACTCTACTCTCCCAGGATAGCAAAATACACAGGAATGACTCTACTTTTATGAGGTAGATATGTGCTTATAAATAGTTGTTTCCCTTTAAGACAGAGTGTAGTGCATGTAATTTGATGTTTTCTACGGACAGGGGGGTTCAGTACTTTTAATTGATGAATTCTATGTATGAAAACGTTTTGCTTACAGCGTATTCATTCATGGCGCTAAATAAAAAATCTAAATTTTCTCAACAGCATAAAATAAAGACAACTTTCAGTGCTTTGGTTCTTGATATTTTTATCGATCCACTTATAGTGTGTGTGGTTTGCTGTGACCTCTATATCTGTCTTAACTATTAATACTGGTTATGAAATAATTAGCTGCTTGATTTTTGCGTATGTGTGTGTATATATATAGGAAAGCACTTTAACCAATAATATGCGTTTTTCAGTATTATCGAAATAGCTGTCTTATTGAGTAGTTTTCAGCCTTCATTCTGTCAGTGAAAGCACTATATTATGTCAGTCTCATATATGACGGGTAGTATGCACGTCAGGCAATCAGTTAAAGGGTTTTGACCTCCTGGAAAATTTTATATATATTTATTCAGATTTCTGTTATAAACCAAACAAACTGCTATGAAGAGTGTGAAGTAATGCAGTAGACAATGTGTAGATTAGTACACGGAGATTTTCCATTAAAACAAGTCAAACATACATAGTAAGTATTTACCACTATATTATACCATGTGTTGTAATTAGATAGATTGCTTATTTAAGGGAGTGCTACTTTACATTATTGTTACACGAGACATTTGACAGTTAATATGATGGAACTTGGTATTAATGATTTGTATTCCTAAACTTTGATACTGGAAAAAGAGTACGCCAGGCATATTATTTCAACGTCAGCTAATAAACCCTTTCTTTTGTAAAATGTAGAACTAAGTTGTTATTAAAAGTGTTTTGTTGCCTTCTTCAACTTGTCAAGGAATTGTCATAGCATAAAAAACATGAACAAGGAGAAAACGATTAATGGTGTACAATCTATTGCTCTTCACAAAAAACAATTAGTATAATTCTCAAGCAGCAACAGGAATCACAGGTTGAAGCTACAGTAAAAAAGTAAAAGAACCTTTCGTTAAATCCCGTTTGTCACTAGATTCATAAAATGGTTTAATTGACTAATAATGCTTAACACTAGTCGCCATCGTGTCAGATTTGAACAGTATCTGTCAAACAAGTTTATTATATATATATATATATTCTAAGAGATATGATTGATTATTTGTAGGATTAATGTGATTACTTCCTTGTAAACTTGAAATGAAAGCATCTAATTTTGTTCATTCTCTATACCCAGGTGGTTAAAACAAGAAAAAGAAGCTGAGGAAATGGAGAAAATAGCAGCTGATCAACCAGCTATAAATATGGCGTTCAAACAAGGCGAAAAGATTAAATTGAATCTTAACACACGACGTACGGGAGATGAGCCTAATCAGAAGTCAAAAGTTTCACGTCCAATCGGTGGTGGTGGATTATCCGGCGGCGGTGGTGGTAGTGGTCTACTGCCTCCTCCACCGCCACCAGCTATTTCTCGTTCCCGTGGAAGTCGTACTACTACTACTCCTACTACGACGACCACTGGGGAGACTGTAAACTTTCCAACATCTTTTGATTTAGTCAGCAGTGATTCACAACAATCGGACAATGTACTTTCTATGCCTACGTCTAATGTAAGGGATTAGTTGTATGCAACATTTTTTTCATGTACAACATGATATTTGTTGTTCTATTTATTATATTTATCTTACTGGAAGTTAACTAGTTTAGAGATTGGTTACAGGATTTCATCGTGAGCTGACATTAGAATTTGTGGGCCATTTGATCGGGTCCCAGTGGCTTAATGGTCTACGAGCTCGCCTTGTAAACAGAAGGTCCTGGGTTCGAATCCCAGTGGGTGCGTACTGATGAAGACTCCCAAACTAGGACGAAACAGCTGTCCAGTACTCCCAGGTTTTCCAGTGGTTCTCTAACCAATGTCAACTCACGATGAAATCATGTAGCCAATCAAATCCCTACAAACCAACAATTGAATATTAGTGATTGATTCACTAGATATCTTTAGAAATAGTTGTAACTTAAACTCACTAGTATATATAATACTAGATAGCAATTTCTGTGCTTTCGTGAAAATAGTTCTTCAAGTATCAGGCGAAATCTTGTAATTTCTAATGAACTTCTCGAAAATACAAAAACATTGTGATTCAGATAAGAAAATTAGTTTAGGTAGTGAACTCATTGGTGTCTGACGTGTCTACTATGCTAAAGTGATTATATATTACAAAATAGCGCACTTTATTCTAAACATTGATTTTGATACAAATATGGAATTTTCAGCAGGTATACATTATTGCAACTAATTTTCTCGTTACGTAATGCAGGAGTAGTAAGTAATTAAATGGGGCATTCACGTTGATAATATTGTCAAATAAGAATATGAATATAAAATTAAAATTTCGAGTAAAAATATTAACAACAGTGTAAAAGTGGAGGAAAGAATAAAAAGGGGTCCGTTTACTTAGTTTTTCTCAGTAAGTTATTAGTGTCATACCTTGCATTTTTCTCATCACACAAAACATGTACGGTTCATTGTATCCGAGATGGTGACGTAAATTGTATAGTGACAGTCTGACCATGATTTTCCACAAATATATTCCACTTTGTCGACTTGACGCTTCACTGTTCATAGTTCTCATAGTAAAATTATTGCAGTTTATTGAATTCTATAGAGTTGTGTGTCTTTTAACCTAAGAGAGCATAGTATTAAACAGTAATCTACTATAGTAGATTGGTTAATTATTGACAATTATTATTATTACGTGCATCAGTGGCACAGCGGTTAGGACGCTGATCCAGGGTTCGATCTCCGGCCGACACATACCTGATAACAATGGTCCGCCTGCTAAATTTAAGCTACCGATATCACATGCTGAAAATTCCATACTTATATCAAAAATACTGTGTGGAGTCAAGCTATAATAAAATAAATAAATAAAATAAAACAAATAATAATTCTTTCTTTTTAAAGATAAGTTTCATTGCAAATGTCCGGTTTCTTGACTAAACACAAGATGAGTAGAGATCAAAGTTAATTAAATTTACCTATTCACCTTACCATATACAAACAGTATGAATCCGTTAATTTTTTTTTCACTAACCACTGTGTTAAACATAATTTTTTCTCTCTTCTGTTCAGAATCCTACTTCTACTAATACTAACACTACCACCAGTACTAATGCTACTGCTACGGCTACCTCAAATATGGATCTTTTAAATGATATTTTTGGGAATTCTGGACAGTTCTAAACAAATATCGATTATCCTGCTATGCTAATCAATTATTATTGTTATCACTATTCCTTTTCACTTCGTATCCATTCCTTTTCATGCTCTGATATCAAAAAAATAATGTCTGTCTGTTTTTTTTCACAGTCAATAATTATATATACATATATATATATATATAAAGTTGAGGTCTTTCAGTGAATTCTTTTAAATCTTCACTTTTTTCTTTGTTATATTTATACATATACATATTTATGTATTACTGATATGTGAAAAAACATGTATTATAACTGACTGTCTGAGTTGAGTACACGCACACACACACACACTAGCAGCATTATTTACAAGTATGTTAAACTCGTTTTTGTTTGGTTCTAATCGTTGTTTGGATACTTACTATCCTGATATGTTATATTATTGTATTGTGGGACTTATTCAAGAGAAAGTGAAGACTGTTATGCTTCCTTCCTTCCTTCATTCTTTATGATGATGATGAGTGTTATATTTCAGGAAAGTACATTCTTCGCATTTTCTCCTGTATTATTGTAGTTAGTGTATCTGGCTATATACTACTACAACTACAACTACAGCTATTACTTGCATATTTGAGAAATATGTTTTAGACTTCAGTTTCCTTCGATGATAAGATTTCGTAGATTTTGTTTAGCATATATATTATATATATATGTTTATTGTCAGTATTGTCAACTCTTCTTTTTATTTGGAAAAACAGATATGTTAATGCTAGTCGAATTTACTTAGAATAAAGTAAACCATATTTACTGTTATACTAAATGTGGTTTTTCTCTTGCTTGTGTGCATCTTAATTAACTCCGTAATTAGTATTCATCAAAAACACAACAATTATTCATGACACTGCATACTAGTGATTGGTTGAAATGAATACTTGTATACCACTCATATTATCGATTAGTAGTGTTTGAAGTTATCGTAACACACTGAACAGTTGTTTTGCTTGTTTAGGGCTAGGATGATCATCAGCGATGCACCATCCGGTGTGACCCACCTCAGAAAATCCGAATGATTTCAAATCACCCGAATTCTGGCTTTAGGTACTTGCGCGAACTGGTAGTGTACTGCTAGTTGATGTGAGTGACATGCAACTACTCACTCGAATCAATCAGTAGTCTATAGTCCCATGCATTTATGTTTTTTTTCCTTGATTGCCATTTTTATGGTATCAAGCAGATCACGTAATGTATAACCTGAATAATTTTGGTTTTCAAAAGAAACAATGCTGAAAATTGCCAATTAGACTGACGAAGTTATGTAGTTTTTCCTTGTTTCGGAGAGTTTCTTTAAGAGAATTCTCGAGTGAACGTGTTAATTAAATTTAGTAGTCCGAACTATGTATGTGTGCCAGGTTCGTCTTGTGTAGGGTTCATAAACGGTGTCATCTAAACATTGATGTGAGCAAACGGGTAGCACCTGCTACCTCTTTGATATACAAGACTGAATTGCAATCAATGCTTGCTAACGACCCTCCAAGTAGTATAGGTGAACATTAGCTTCATCTGTAAGGTGCTATGCAAATGGCGAGTGTAGCTGCTTGTGGCTTTAAAAAAATGCTCCCCTCGAAACCACTGGGTTTCTGCGAGTTCCTTGAAACTACTGGATGAACACCGGTCCACTTCAGCTGGCAGCGAATACAACGATATGCGGAAAGCGCTTACGCGCAATGTTAGACAGTGTCTACATAGAGACCGCGAAGCCTGGCGGTCAGAAAGTGCGTGTGAGATGGAGTCAGCTGTCACATCTGGCAACAGTGGGAAGCTGTTCCAGCTCATCCGAGCCACCGGCAGCAAAAAACAAGGTGCCAGCGAGACGGTGTGTGAGGTAGCTGACACGCCAATTACCAGTCTGAAAGGACATCTGGAACCCTTGGCGAGAGTACCCTTGACCGACCCACCAATCGAAGCGAAAGTCCGTAAGGAACTCCAAGTACTGAGACGCCATTAGGCACCCGGCCCAGACGATCGACTTCCAGCTCTTTTTAAAGTTGGTGGCGAGACTCTCGTCATCGCTTTGACTAGTTTGTCCGGGAAAGTATTGGAAATTGAGGATGTGCCATCATCATCATCCCCATCTTTAAAAACAGTCGACGCGACAACCCTAAGTTTATCAGTTTGCTACCAATTGCGTCTAAAATATTGTCTGCTGTCTTGCTTAGCAGGCTGTGCAAAACACATGAGGGGTTGATTCGTGAGGAACAGGCTAGGTTTCTTTCAGGTCGTGAATGCATTGGTCATGTGTCCATTCTTCGTCAGTCGTTGGAACACCGCCATACTTATTGCAGGCCAACAATCGTTGTGTTTCTTGATTTTAGGGCTGCCTTCGATTCGTTGGACATAACTGTGCTCTGGGACTATCTGTTAGAGAGGAGTGTACCTGAGAAGTCTGTGAACATCCTGGAAGTCCTATTGAGAAACACCTCAGATAGAGTGAGGGCATACAACCAACAATGAGGTTAGACAGGATTGCCAAATCTCCCTGTTTCTCTTTAACTTTGCTATCGATGATATTCTGCAGTCAGCCCTGAAAAACTTAAGTGAAGGTGGTATAGATCTGCTCCCCAGAGAAAGACTTTCTGACATCGAGTACACAGACGATATGGTCTTACTGTGCGATAGCATGCAGGCTGCCCAAATCGCACTTAATCAGTTGGCGATCAGTGTCTGTAAGTATGGTATGTACTTTGCACCGTTTAGGTGCAAAGTACTGTTACAAGATTCGCAGGAGTCTTTACCTGCACGCACTCTGGTAGGAGGACCACTTGAGGTTGTCGATAAGTTTGTGTATCTCTGTAGTTATGTGAGTGCTAGCGGAGGTGTGGCAGAAGAGATTTCCAACCGTATCGTGAAACTTGGGGTGGTATAGTCAACTTGAGCCACCTCTAGCGCTGTCACCACGTAACCCTGGCTATAAAAGGTCGGATATCCAATGCTTCGGTGTGGGCTGTCTTGTTGTACGCCTGTGAAACCTGGCCTCTCCGACCTGAGTATTCAATCATCGCTGTCTCGGTAGGATTGCGTTCGATGACATCATCCCGTGAGTAATTCTGAGGTTCGGTGGCGTGTGTTTGGACACTGGAGATCACCATTCTCTGAATGTCGCCATCTGGGAACACCGGCTTCGGTGGCCTGGACACGTGCTACGAATGTCATCCCAGAGGCTTCCGTACCGGTCTGTTCGCTAGCCCTGGGACGAGATGAAAAAGTTGAAGAGGTGGTCTGGCCGTAATGTGGCATCGTGGGATGAAGGATATTTGTGTTAGGTTAGCATCGATTGGTGCGTCACGACTCCATGGTTGGAGTCCGAGAGATAGCTCGAATCAGTGGCTCTAAACGTTATCGGATACGGCCGGGAATCATAATCAATGGCGAGCATGCTGAGATTCTATTCTTATATCAAGTTAGTTGCTCCAACTACAGAAGCCGAATATCAAACCACGCTAAATTCTAAGCTGCCTGATGACCCAATACGAAGTACAGAACAGTGGCTGCACTTGGAATATGCCATTATGACTTATAAGAACCTTCTGTTGACAAACAGATTGGCTTTCTTGACACCTACCAGTTCGTCCTAGTGGACTGCAAGTATATTAATTCGGGTAAGACTCTTGCCACAAAAAATCAAACCATCTACGTAACGATCGCGAGACCTGGTGGTAAAAAAGAATACACATGTTTCGTGTGAAAAGCACTTGCATCAAATGACAATTGAAAGATATCACAAGTCTTTTGAGCCACCGAAAGCACAATTGGCATGGTATCTGAGGCAAATCGTAAGCCTATTGACAACTCGCAAGAACGCTAAAGAATCATTTTGGCTGGCCTAAAGGACTACTCCCTAACGAATGAAGCAGACGTTCGATACAAACAAAGAATTCAAGCAATTATAAGGCACGTGTAGTCCACACAATTTACACTTAGTTTTGTTAAAAATGATGACGAATCCGTAGTCAAGAGGTTGATGAGATTGGGTGACCTATCACTTGAAAATGGCCTACTTAATGCATGTATATATTCGTGTTAATTACTTAATTAAGCAAAGATACATAAACTAGTGTGCTTTCTGACTCAAACTGTCCTGATAGACTGTTTGGGTTTCAGTATAGAAGAGCTGTAGTTTGAGTTACCGAATTCCACGTAGCACACTTAGAGGTAGAAATAAGAGATTCAGAAGAACAGAAATGTGCAAGAGAAAGATTGGTAAAATGAAAGAACATGACGGTTCGATGGATAAAAAAGTGAGTGCATCTGAACCATTTGAGAACAGTTTTCACCAGTATTCCGAGGACCCTAACAAGGCAGTCTGCACCTCCCTACGGATCTCAAACCAACGGTCAGAGACTTCATAGACCAATACCAGGTTTTGGTATGACTAACCCCTACTCCTTTTAGACCTAGTTCAGTGTTGAAGAGGAAAATAATGGCTCGGTATGCGCAACGTTTCCAAGCTTTCTTAATCGAGGTAGCTTTAGAACCTGATTGACTGACTTCCCTTCTTTACCTAGCACTCTACGCCTAACCTTCATTTTATTCACTAAATTGTGTCACTTAACAAGGGAGATAAAACGCAAATGTGTGTTCAAAGGCAGCCTTTTCATATCGATGGCCATGTTGCGCAGTACGCACGTCATTTGATTGACACCCAGATATCACGCCCACACCGGAGATGACAAATGCCACACGAACCTTTTGCATCTGTGCTAAGATTTTGTACGAAATCAATCCATTAGGTCTGACAACTTCATAAATAAGTGTGGTGGTCAACAAGCTCTACCGCTTCACTCAAGTCCTGTGGCATCACCTTACACTTGATAGGAGAGAATCGCATGCCAAACATCCGAAGATTTCTGCTCACGGTATTCAGAAGACTTTGTTAGCGTTTTCACCGAGACGGACAATGGCATCCTCATACCCAAAGTCGATAAGGCTGCCCCTTAGTAAAAATGCAATCCCCAAGTCGACCTTTTCTCACCCACCTCTCTCTCCAGAGAGGAGGGGCAGCATACTTGGCATGTTGCTCATCTGAAGGAAACACCTTACTGAGATTACATCCCTATTCACCAGCAGTACGAATTCGCCTACAACATAGTGTAAACGACTTACGCTACGATAGTAACTCCTTTCAGTTGGACCACTAGCTAAACGACGTTTCCAGCGTGGCAAAATGTGCAGGAACACCAGTTACTGTAGCTCATTGAGTTATTGGCATTTAAACGCCAGGCCACGACGACGGGGTGTTCTGACTGCTATTCTCCAATAAAACATACATTAAAAAGAAGACGACGGAATGAAAAAATCTAAGTAACTTGGGACTACTATTCAACAAGAAATAAAATCGATCTCTACATAATCCTAATATTGTTCATGACTATTATGGATAATTTTAGCTTGAAAAAGCTCCACCTACCTACTTCCCAATGCAGGTGGACTTCATACCGTTTTTTATATCCTAACATGTTATGCAAAGCGAAAATCTCTGCCCTGTTCGATTGGTCAGAAGACTATCAAAGTTTAGTTCCGGAGAGCTCCAGAGTCTATGTATCCTAAAAACTATCAGGTATGAACGCGACTGTTTCTGGTTCTGAATGGTTTACATCACCTACTTCAGTTATTACCACTGTACATTTAGCCAACAATATTACAAGAAACTTCCTGATAAAACTAAGTAAACATTGGAATTAGTCTTAAGTCCTATTATGATAGGCATTTTCGAAACAGAACATTACCGCGAATATTTGTTGCAATTATTTGTCCTGTACTCAGTCGAAAGTGAGTGAATTCAAACTGAGAAAATAAGGCGTGAAATAAATATGTATTCAAAAGCAAATATATTCGATTAACTCATTAGAGTGTACAGTTAACCCTTGAGGGAGCTTAATCCTGCTCGCATGATTTCATCAACAAGCAACAGATTGGTTGCGATGATTGAACTGAAAAAGAATGAATATATAAAAGTTACTGTATGCTATATATTGAAAAAAAATACGAAAACGAGAGAAATTTAACTGGTAAGTGTAGACTACAATGCATCAGGTGGACTTAGGCCAAACCATTCAAACCTAATTTATATTTTCATACTGTCGGAACAGATTTGCGGACAAATAGTCTTCCCGGTTACCTTTTTGCTTTGTCCTACAGTTATATCATACTAGCTAGATAAGGACGTTGTGTAAGTACTTTAAAAACTTGAGATCTCTGTCAGACTTTCAGCGAAGCACACTTAGCTCTTAATTTCAAACGTAAAAATTTATCGGGGGGAAATGAGATTTTCTCACAAGAAGAGCAGACGAATCAATAAAGAGGACAATACATCGTTTTTTGAGTTCCTTTTTTACTATTGTAAAAATGAAAACTCTGAGTTATAGGATACGGTTATATGATCAAATGATAACATGAAAATCAATCGATGACTCAACTTGAAAGCTGCAACCCAGATAAGTTAGTGAAAAGAGATGGAGAAATGTTTCAACTGGAGGCAAAAACTGACGTGCAGTTTAAAAACTATGAACCTGATGAGACACTGGTTCGGAATTCCCACAGATTTATTTAAGCACTTTTTCTTATTTAACAAAAACATAAATTGAATTCCAATACTTTCGGTAGTGACACCAACACCGAAGTGCTTACTCCAGCCACTTATATTATTCATCCAACTACGCCTGTGCAACTAGTTACTATGATTGCTGTTTCAGGAATTTAATCTGTACTTGGGAACACTTGTTAGTGCGACTGGACAAAGATGTTATAAATAGCTCAGTACTAATCCAGAAACACTAAATGGATTCTATGCCCCAGTCTTTCTTATTCACCCCATACATGTCAGCTTGTAAAAATCCACTAGACTTTAAATCCTCCAAACAACAAAAGCGATAGTTAATTATAACCTCTACGCTTAATAGCTATATCTCATAGGACAAAACTAATCGATGCCGAACATACACTTACATTACAACGAGTGAACCAAAATATCACATCTCATCCATTAAGTGAAACGTGTGGTATGATATAGAAGGGTAGACAAACACCATTAGCCTCAAACTCTTTAGTGGTACGAATATCTGCACCCAATTAGCTCATCGAGACGGCAGAGAAATGAAAGCTTAACATGAAGTAGAGTGGCATGAAACAAAACCGGACAGCTTAGATCGAAGCACATCTATGTTGTGAAGCAGTATTATGTACACTCAAAGGTTTTCATTGGTGTAATAATTAAACAAGGTGATATATCCGGTAACGAATATCCCTGAACTAAGATTCATCAGTGAAAAAGTGGAGTGCAGTCCAACGACTGAGGAACATTTTAAGTATAGGATAAAAAGAACTATGGCTAATGACGTTCTCGGAGATTGTGACATACAGTTTAACTTCGAAGACATCCATTACCGAATCAAACAGTTCGGTTGTGTATCGCAAAAATGCTTGTAGGTTTTAAGGGTTTTAGTTTACGATTTAGAGTATGATACAACTACAGAAACGCAGCTTATTGGCTCTAATTAAACAATTTGTATAACTTGAGTAAACGGTCAGAAACTTAGTGGAGTGGAGCCATATATTGGCCTGCCCACCTAACTCATTTTCAACCCACTTTGACTTTAGTCCAGACCAGTTATCAGGAAAGATGGAAACTGTCCGCACAAATCAATATGAAGATGTACGTGACTTCTAGCTTTTAGCCGCACTTGCAAACGGTGAATGAACAGTGAATGTTTACAGGATCAAAATAGCTGACTGGTTTTAGATGAACATGTAAGCAATACACTGAACTAGTTTTTGAATGGCAGTGGCAGCCATGGATTAAATATCAGATGCCTGCTACTTTTGACCTCTTATTATAATTCATTCCCAATTTTCAGGCTACTAAGACGAAGCATGTTTTTTCAGAGCGAAGCAAAAATCTTGAACCTGTGGTGTCACGAAATCAAAGTCTTTTCAAAGACTCTATCAAGTATCAAGTAGGTCATGAAAGACAACTACTGGAGGATTGTTAAGGTTATCCTTGAAGACAATTTCCATTTTAGAAGGTATAAGTAGCAGATACGATGGGATCCCTAGTTTCCCGTGATAAGTTAACCTGGTCTTGATGCTTCAAATGAACTTCAGATGAGTTTCCGCAGATATCTGTACTCAGCAGTAAGACTATACTAAATACACAATGTGCAGATGACTATCACTCTGTGTTTACAACAGAATGATCTAGGAGTCGTTTGTCACCAGTATAGCTGCAACTAAGAGATTTGAACAAGTCTTTTCAATGGACTTTCGGAAGTTTACATAAGTAGAGTCTTATAGAGAGAATAGGGAAACATTCAAAGAGTAACGGACAGTTTAGATTCCTCCTTATTTTCAATCAAATATATGTGAGTACATAAACCATTTCGCCTATTGTTAAGAATGGTGTGATTTACCTCCGAAATAGCTTGATGTAATTTGCCATTTATCTCTTTTTAGAGATGCCTCGAAGGTATTTTTAGAGCTGGTTTGAAAGGCAAGGAAGTCAAATGTTGAAACCGAGGCACCAGTAGTGCCAATTTGGTTTATATATCATACGGTGAAAATCGTACTACTGATTATTTTTCGAAGCTCAATTACCCAGAACAGATTTTGAATGTACCAGGCTACGAGCTACACGTGTCTTGAGAGAGCTGGTGGTAATACACAGTTACCCATGCTGAATTAGGCGTGGTGGGATTCGAATCCGGGAACCACTGGATATAAACCAATAAGGCACATCTCCACAACTGATTTGGAACCTAGCAATTGATTTGTACACCAATCATTACTATTCAACCAATATTTTTAATAACGCATAATTGGTGGCTATTAGGAGAGATATGCTAGAAGCTGAGAATAGGATCCAATGTGGAAACAAAATTTAAAATCGAAGTAGAGTCATTAATAGCAAGTCATATCCTATAGAGCATAAGTAGACAATCTAGGAAGAGACAGATATTCATTGGTCACAGATTTTCAATGATCCTTTAAGATGTTTCGTGTCGAAATTTGTATATAATTATTGCAACAAAGCAGATTTTATATCTACACTTACCAAGAATTGATTATTTGCTTTTTTACAATGAAGTTATCGTAAACTCCAACCTGAGCAGGAACCATTGCTTCTCCGGTAGTTAGATCAATTCCAACAAGGTCCATTGGTGAAATACCGTGACAACGAGCTTCTGCCTTTGCTGATTCTTCGAGCAATTTTACCATAGTTTCTTGAGCATCGTGACCAGCATTCCTAGCCAAAACTTTTGGAATCACGAGTAGAGCATCCGCAAACGCTTGGACACCGAGACGTGCACGACCTTTGACTGTTGGGACGAACTTAACAAGCTCGCGATATGCGACCAGTTCAAAAGCCCCTGCACCAGGGATAACGCATTCTGGAAGTTAGATAAGAAAAACATGGATAAGTTTAATGTGAGGTGTACTACTGATTACATTTCACCCTACGAGATGACATGTGATAGAAAAATTGTCTTGGGAAATTTCCAGAGGACTTCCGTTTGTATACAAGTCCTACTTACCGGCCTGTCTCATGAAGTTAGTATTCAGAGAAAGGAAGAAATTAGACTTTAGAGTAACAGACAGGCGTTAAAATCTGAGAATAACATGTTAGGTACAGTGCTTTGACTGACACTAGTTTAAGAACCATCTTTATTAAGAATATTAAAAGCCATTAATGGCTTAAGAAACGAAAGTTCTAAACAGATATCTGCTTACCGTCTTCTAATGTGTTTTTAATGGCACGAAGACCATCATTTACTGCGTCTTTGATTTGATTAAGGGTGTGTTTATTGGGTCCACGCATTAGCAAAGTTACCGAACGAGGTTCCTTGCACTCCTCGACAAAGGTGTACTTTTCCTCCCCCTGGAAATATAGTTAGTTTGAAATGAGACATACCAGAGTAGTTTCGTACACTAATCCAGCATAACCAAGACAGTCAGGTGTCATATCTTCTACTGAATTCAGAGCATATCCACCACAAGCAAGTGTGACCCTTTCCATGTTGCGTCTTTTGGCACGACGGAGAGCAAGTATTCCCTCTCGAGCAAAAGCGTCTAGCGAGAAGGGATCAATTCCTTTCTGGTTAATTATAACGAATCCAGGCTTGGAGTCTCCACCACCTTCTTTATCGCAAACTTTCCTTTTCAACTCTATTACCTTCTGCACTCTCATATCGATGAACTCCCGCTCAGATTTCACGAGTGATGCTCGTTCTTCTGCTGTTTTATAGAAGAACCCAGAATTCACCTCACTAACTGTTAATGATTAGTAAACCTTACTTACGTTTTTTCATATTCGAATGACACATTGCATGTCAATATAAATGCATTAGTAACTCGTTTAGGCATATCTGGGTGCCTACCACCGTGGTCAAGTACTATTCCCTTGACAAGTATTGAGTCCATATCAGTCTTATGTTGCATCTGCATCAATTCAATGCGATGCAAATCCAAAGGTTCACTCGCACTACGAATTGACAATACTGCATCTACCACGTGCTACTAAATAGTTTAGGTAAGTTGCGAACTACCTTAGTCAAAAGATTAGCCAAGTCAGAATGCACTTTGGTAGTGAGTGATGTTCTTGCAACAGCTTCAAGTATGCCTCTATTCAGAGTTCCGGGGGATGCTGGATCCGAGAAGCAACTTATCTGACACTTTGGTAATATTTCTAAGCATTTGTTTCGAGCCATATCGAACCCCTCTGTTATGAAACGTGGATGAAGGCCTTCAGAAGTATGCATATCAGCTTGTTTGAGCAATTCAGCAATCAAGAGGACATTAGACGTAGTGCCATCACCGGTCATATCATCCTGAGCAGTAGCTACGCGCGCAATCAGGCTGGCGGTAGGGTGCTGGATCTGCATTTCATGGAGCAAAACGTTGCCATCTTTGGTTATCTTAATATCACCGGCACCGGAGACCAGCCTAAGTATCTCAGATTAGAATGCTCAACTTACATTTTCATAGTTCCTTTGGGTCCTAAATTGGTCTTTAAAACATCGTACAACCCCCTAGCTGCAGCCAAATTGATGCTGAATGCATGCTGAGATTTCGCGAACTCCGCTTTAGGGTTTAAGATGGATATAGAAGCCATTGCTAAATCACCACGCTCTGTTTCGAAATCTTCACACGATAGCAACCAAGGTCAAAGAAGCCTCTCGAATGTCCAATGTACTGCTTTTATTGGCAAGTCATATATTGCCCAAAGGTCACCTATTAATACTTGTTTGTTTGATTTGTCTGCTTTATTTCGTCTTGAAATGCGTCATAGTGCATTTTGAAGGTTATACATAGATATCTGCTATTAGTAGCCAGGTGTTCAGGCATGTGAATGCTTTGTCTAAAGTACATTGAATTTTCCAAGTGATTGCTTTCAAGAAAAGTAAGCTGCTGATTGCAAGAAATATCTCTCCACTTCGTAAACAAGTAAGACATTACTTTCATTGATAGCTGACTATCTTTGGTTTGTAAGAGTTAGGTTGGCAAAGGACTGGAGAACATCAGCGTAAGGGCCGTTAGAGGCAGGGGTTGAATATACTGGACTTAATGAAGGTGTGTGTGTCACAACACTGGAGATCGAGAGCGTTGTAGCTGAATCGATCAATTTGTGTTTGCCAGTATCTACCAGTAGCTGATATTGTTGCAAGAGATCCATGCCAATAATACTGGTGGTTACGTCTGCCACTAGGAAAACCCAACGAAATGATCTACGTAAGCCTATGTTCAGATCTAAGAACCTTTTACCATACTTTAAGATTGGTGAACCGCTTGCGGCACGAAGCTGTAAGGAAAGTGGCTTCTGGCGCTCTTCAGATGTTGGTGGAATGACACTAACCTCCGCCCCAGTGTCAACCAGGAAGCGTGTCCCAGTGTTACGGTCAGTAACATAGAAGAGGCGACATGGAAGAGGTTCGCCAGCGACGTTAGTCGCCAATACGTGCTGGTTTACTGGTTTCCCGTTCGCTGGACATCGAAGGTGCACGGGCGAATACACTTTTGGGCCTTGGCACCATAACGCCGGTGATAGCAGCGCACTCCAGGTTGGGAGTTACGAGACCTGCGACGCCTGCTGCCAGCTCGTGAAGAAGATCTACCACGAGTCGAGCTGGTGCGGTTATTTGAACGACCTCTAGGTGTCATCTCCTGCCTTAACTTATCTATCTCTTCATAAAGCTTAGCTATGTAGGCCACCACATCTAATTTTGATGACCCCTCGGTAGAGGAGTCCTTTGTCTGAGTGGGACTAGCGGTTACGGCCATCCCGTGAACAAGACGATATATAAATAGAATGATAACAACAAATATGATAACAAAAAATATGAGTAAAAACAAGGCAAGTAAATTTTATAACTCTGTGTGAAAAACAAATTGCCAATATGAAAAAGGACTATTAACACGTTAAGCTGCTATGGAGGCAAACGGTGAAAACTCGGGCTCACCACTTGTAAGAGTTAGACTTGGGTTAACTTAGGCCTAAATTAGCCACTCTTACAAAACTTCTTCACCGCTTATGACCTTAATCGTACTCTGCCTAACGTGCAAGTACTAACGAACGGAATCAGGGTTAAAAGACTTGAGATGGCAAGTGTAACTGGAACAGAATTGTATTTACACAAAAAAGATATGGAATTCGATAAGAAATAAGAGGTATATATTTATCTGCAGTTGAGGCGGTGGTAAGCTCGGAGAGTGTGCTAGGTGAAAGCACAGAGAGAGAGCGAAACCGAAACCGTACAGGAGGTTCACGAATACAAAGAGGAAGTGGAGTTAAAGGTCAGGTGAGTTCGTTCAAACAAAAGTTCGAAGGTACAATGTACACTACAGGTTTAGTTGCTACATGAACATAGGCGCCCTAATGATTTCGTATCTATTTATCCGAAAATGCAGTTCTGCGAGGGCCAAATTTGGTTTGCTGCCCATTAGATTCTAAAACATCAATTTTCATGTTGTCTGACATGGGTAGATCCGCACAGTGGAACAGTAGTTGCTCTTACAGGAGTTAGCTATGACTTATAATGCAAAAAATAGAGGTGGATGAGGGATGATTTTTGCCATGAGCAACGGCTGTATCAGTTTGATTCCTTCTCACTCAATTGGTTCTTGACTCAAAGTTCATCTTTAGAGAAGAGTTTTGTGTTGTTTGCTTAACTGATAAGGCATCTTGTATCACTAATCAGTTAATATTAAATATTAAAATTTAGGAAGACAAATGTTTTAACAAAGATTTCTATCTTCAGAAGACCTGAATAGTATGTAGAATCGGCAGGCGGAATTCCCTCTCACTTAACACATAAAAATAGAAAGCAAGGTTCTGAAGCTAAAAAACGAAGACTAACAACGTGGCTAATGAACTCCACATCTTCATTCTGGCGACTATAAGCATGAGTAATAATAGTGGTAATATATTCTCACTTTATGAGGGATGCCATTTTACAGGCATTAATATGATAAGTAATGTATACATGAAGTAAGCATATTTACATTTCTCCACTTACACAGGATACGTGTGCAAGGAAAGGTATTTTAATAATGTCACTGTCAAGGATTAGTAGACCATTTGGAATTTAATGAACTATATGCGGCCCCTCTTTGATGTCGATTGGGAACTACTCCTGAAAAGTACCCGATAAGAGCAGGATGTGAATGAATTGAAATTATATTCCACAAGAACACCACAGATGCCCTAATCTGCATACCATAAAAGGTATACTCTTCCTCCCCTTAGAAATTTAGTTAGGTCGAAATGAGACATACCAGAGTTGTTTCGTACACGAATCCAGCATACCCAAGACAGTCAGGTGTCATTTCTTCTACTAAATGCAGAGCATTCATTCATTCTGAGTTCATCATCTTGTCAAGTATGCCATACGCTTAGCACGATATATGCTCAGAATGGCTAGGTGGCTATTTAGTGCATAGTTTTTATTCAATCCAGGAACCGTGGAATCTGTAGCGGTAAATAATTCCCCAAAATTATTGGCCACAACATTCATCGCTGAACATTGGATGCCGACCCTCAGTGTTCAAGTCAGCTTGTCCAGCTGAATGCTTCCGGTCAAGCATCCACGCCATTCTGGTACTCCGTTGTGTCACGTTCGTTCGTTCGCGCAGGATCCCTAGCTAGCTAAGCAATCATCTTGCACTCCGATTTGGCCCCGAAATATATCTCGTAATTTGGACTTTCAATTATTCTGTTTTTTTTGCCTTTGGTCTACGCAGAAGGAATACTATAGAATTTGTGGGTAAGAGATCTTGCGTTAGTATACTTTGTACTATCCGTCAACGTCAATATCCTCAGCCTCTAGAATTCTTACCTCATTTTCTAACATGCCCCAACTAAACTGTATTACCTTGTGACATCTGTCTTGATCAGGAAAATAACTTTTTGAAGTCAAGCTGATGAAATTCCTTGTGTCTTACAATTGTGTAAGGGACGTTCTTATTCGGAAAAGCAGTTTAAACCCGCTGACTGCCTCCCTCTTCTAATCTAAACAGGAAGGGGCTCTAGTAACAAGTAAGTATCACTGCCGTCAGAGTGATTTCGCCGCTTCTTTATGATTGATTAGTATTGAATGAGGGAAACACCGTTTTGAACTGAAGATAGCTGAACAAAGTAAAGTTTAATGCAAACCGTTGGAGTGTTGTCTACGACATTCCTCGTTCAGTACTGAATATTGACCTTCACTGTTTACGTCGATCTGTCAAGTCGGAGGTACCCAGTCAGGCACCTATACCATCTGACACAATGTAGTGTTAAGTTTGGTCACTATTAGACGCACCATATTTAGATAAGCAGTCATTGTTTTCCTACGTTTCTGATCCTGAAATATATCTAGACTTTCGCACGATCACCTTGTCGTTTTTATTCATCCCTGGTCAACGTTGAACAAATGTCTCAGGAGTCGGAGTATAAATACTTGCGTTTCCACTTGCCGTATCTTGCATAGCCGTTATCAAATATCCTGGTCGCAAAGATCTTGTACTTATTACTGCTTTCAGGAGACCACATCTAATACTCAGACTAATACGCGCAGTAACCAACGCAGAAAATAAAATCGAGATCGAAAAGGGTTGTTTATTCTTCCACCGATAACGAGGTAGAAATACAGTTACTATCAGCAAAGCCTGTAAATAAACTTCAACAGAATGTGCAATTATTCTTCAGAAAATTCTTCTCCCGGCTTCTTCCAACCAGTATGCGACTAAGCCACGCCAGCCTTCTTGTCTCCTGCAGAATGCAGGTAAATTCGAATGAACAGACGAATCGATGTTCACCAGCATTGACGACCACCTTGAGTATAGGCTGACTCTGGAGTTTCATGAGGTTGAGATAGCTTTATGTTTTATCCCTAAATAACGACTCTCCGAGTACGAAATTAGTTCGGAGTATAGTACGGCTGTTCTAGAGAAGATATGGTTTATAGGAAGAATGGTACACTATGGCCATAACTCCTGATACTAATATAATGCAAATGAAGATAATCTCCCTGCTTGCGTAGTTATATTTGCGGGGTGATACATGATTGTAGGCCAAAACACCAATGCAAACCAGTGAATTTGATAAACTAAAGTCAAATTGTGTGTGGGGGTAAACAAGTGTGAGAGTATTTAAGCTATAGCAAAAAGAATCTTCTGCTCTTTTGCTCCAATAAACTGAGAGAGACAAAATGGAGGCAGTCGATTTTAATTTGAGTTGGCCTTATGTGGTTTCGTATAAGGTGCTCAGAAGAATGCTGCAATTATACCTATGTTATGTTTGGCTGTTTTGAAGGTGTTTAATCAGCGTTTTTACACAGCTGGGTTA